GGCCCCAGGAAACCTTTTTAAAGTGGATCTGTAATCAAAAATTGTAGATGCACTTTGCAGCAGCTAGAAAAGTACTGTGAGTGACTGAAATAAAACCAAATGTGTTGTCCTCCTCAAAAACAAAAACAAAAACAAAAACAAAACAAAACACCCACTGAGATTTCATTTCACCCCAGAAAGAATGACTATCAAAGAAATCAACCAACAACAAATGTTGGAGAGGCTGTGAGGAAAAAGGAACCCTTCTCCACTGCTGGTGGGCATGCAGACTGGTGCAACCATTATGGAAATCAGTGTGGAGACTCTTTACAAAAACTAGGGCTAGAAATCCCATTCAATTCAGCTATCAGAAATTGGGAATTTTCCCATAAGAAGTGAAAATATATCATAGTGATATATGTGCATCTATGTTTATAGCAAGCACAATTTGTGATAGCCAAATCTTGGAAGCAACCAAAATGCCCATCACCTGAGGAATGGAAGAAAAAGATGTGGTATTTTTATACAATGTAGTATTACTCAGTTATAAAGAATGGTAAGTTCCCTGCTCTGCTGCCCCTACCCCCAGGGTACACTGATAGGGCAATTGAGACTTGGCGTGGTGGCACGAGCCTGTAATTCTAGCTCTTGGGAGGCTGTAAAGAGCAGATTACTATCAGTCCGATCTAGTAGTGTGACCCTGAACGCCCTGTAGACTCTTCCCTAAAATACAAAAACAAAACAAACAAACAAACCCAAAAACCCGAAACAAAAATGAATGACAAACTCTTAGTCTTCATATATAAGTGGATGCCACTTGAAGATATACTCATTAAGTGAAATAAACCAGATCCACACATGTAAATATTGTATAGTCTCCCTACTGTAAGAACTCAAAAGAAGAAATAAAAAGTGAAAGGCATAACACAACTAAGTGGAAAGTGAGAATTTAGGGATTACACAATGAAGAGAGGGTGAGGAGAAAAGCTAGGAAACATGACAGGGGCAAAGCCATATATTTATATACACAAGATGGCTAAGGCAATGATTCTAAGAATCTCCATCAGGTTTTTGAAACTAGCAGTTAATTGGTAGGATTCTCACGCTGACTAACTATGTATGATGATACCTGTGAACTAAGCAACTGTACTGAAGACAGCAATGTGTAATACTAGGGCCATGCTTGGAATCCCTGTCATTCTGGTCTTCTAAAAGTGTACTGCTTCTAATGTATCAATTACTGCTATACTCTCCTTCAAGTAAATGTTTGTTTAAAAAAATGTAATAAATGAAAATAAGACAAGAAAAAAATGTCATAGGACTGTCCTGCTACAAGGTGGTATATGGTTAGATTTCCAAATTTCTGTGTAAAAATTTGTAATTGTTTATTTCTATTTTTTTCACATTTTGTATAGATTTAAAGTCTAGCATATCAATGATTGATGGAAAATACCCATTTCATGTTATCTCTAAGGCATTTGAATTCAGACAGATACTGATGCTAAGCTCAACAGCCTATGTTTTAGGGTAATAATATCATTAACCTTCTCTTCTGGAGGGATAACAACTTAAGTTTCCAGACCAAAAAATTAGAGAAAAAGAAGGGCTACAAGGATAGCCTACATTTTGGCCCTAGCCTTTCAAGGTTAGTGAGGACTCAGAACATAGGAGAAAGTGTATTGTAACATCCTTTAACTCAGTGACGTCCCAAATTTTCTCATCAAGGAGATTATGAGGCCACAGAGGAAAGTGATTGATGATGTAGAGTGTGCATAAGGAGAGTCACATGGAGAGAAAACATTCTCTCAGGCTTTCACAGAGAGCACATTGGTCAAGCAATGGCTGTGATTCATCCACATGGCTGACACTGACAAAGGTTCTACAAACTGCTGTACAGGGTTTCAGGATAAATCCTGAGGGGATCTGACTGACTTTGTTAGATATAAAAGTTACATTTTTGTTATGTAGATCTTGCTTTATCTTGGTCTTAACCATGCAGCAGAAAAGTATAAAAACAAGATATAAAAAGTAAAGCCATACTAATATGCTGAGCTGTAAAAGGCTCAAGTCAACAACTTCTGACATTGCCAGTCATGTGGATAACCCACTACTATTATAAACTACTGGACTATATTAGATTACTTTGCTGAATTCATGCACCTACAATGTATTAATGGTAATGGAATACCCATCTCTGACAAAAGTAAACAAAACAGGGGTATATAAATGAAGGACCATTTTGTAGTGAAAAAAATGTATCTGTATATACACAATAATTGGCATAGATATACAGCTACTTTCTTATTTCAATGAGAAGAAAGTATTGAACTAATAGTGTTTAGACAAAATATCATGTCTTCATCTTGCACTATGAATAAATACTACAAAGACAACAATATGCAATGTATTATTATAATTGTCCTACTAACCTGTTTTGAAACTGTCTCATTGCTACTTCTTTCTCAACAGAATTAATATAAAAATAAAACTTTCATTACATTCATCTTTGATAATAATTTTTCTTTGAAAAATATGTATAAAGTGCTTTTATATTCTTCATCTATTAATTCCATCACTGCTACAATTTCTGTGGCTGATTACAGTGACTAATTTTTTTCTGGCTGTGTGTCATATTTTCCCACTTCTTTATATCTAGTAAAGATATTCTGATGAAATATTGACATTGTGGACAGCATTTTGTTGCATTTCTAGATTTTACAGTGTAAGAAAGATTTTGTATAGGCAAATGGGTTATTTTCATAGATTTTTTTGAGGTTTATTTAAGTAATATGCCTAAGTAGAAATACTCAAAGATCATGAGGCTTACCTAGTTACTTATCCTTTTCAATTACATACCCTGCACTACATTTGCCTAAGGTCTAAAAACACTTGTTTCAAATGTTATATTCAGAATTATAGCTGTTTTTGGTAAGAAATGATGTTTGTCTCACAGCAGAAATCTGCTGTTTTGCTACCGGTATTGACTAGCTGTTGGACCAAACAGGTCAATTTAATCTTGGTATTGACCAATTAAGAAACACATAAGTAGCTATAATTATTCATGAAAAATAAAGCGTTATGAACATGCAGCCAATCTATAAACAGAAAAAAACAGCAGTAAATTTTTTCAGAAAAAAAGCAGTAAATTTTCTAGAACAAACAGACTAGAAACATCATTTGTAACCAATTCTTCCATGTTTCAATTAACCCCATGTCTTATAATCTTAAGGTTATTTTTATATTATGGGTTTTAACAATGATACTTACATTACATAGTATTTTTTTTTTTGAAGAGCAGAATATATTTGGGGGGGGGGAAGAAAGCTCCTGCATGAAAGAAGGTCAGGAAGGGGACCTGAGTGGGTTGTCCCTACTTAGTACTTTTAAACAGCTTTCTTTTTCTTCTTTTTTGATGGAACCAGGGATTGAACTCAGACTCTTGTGCTTGCCAGGGAAGCGCTTATTCTACTGAGCCATCTCCCTGGCCCCCCTAAACAGCTTTAATATTTGTCAGAAAATAACATTAATAAAGCATATTTTTTTTTTAAATAGAAGGGATGGATAATGAAGAACCAGAGGAAAAAAATACTGAAGAAGTAAGGAAAAATTAAAAGGCTTTTTCTCTAGTATCTATGGTGAATTTATACTTATTCCTGTATACTTCTTTTTATGGACTACTCTTAGCTAGAAACATATATTTCTTTAGTGAACACTTAAAGGAGGGGAAGAATTATTATTACATAATAATCATATGTAAATGATAATTATTATAAATATATAATTATTAGAGTAGAATTTTATATTGTTAGAATTATTAGAAATTAAAATGTTGCATACTTGAAAGCTGCTTAAATGCTGATCTTCGAGGAGTTTCTGTGTTTCCTCCAGCTTAAACTGGAACACATTTTTGTTTGTAGCCAGGTTTACCATGTTGTTTTCCTTCATTTCTATATCCCAGTTGGTTTTGGACAAAAGATGTTTACGATGCCTGGGATCATTTTTTGACAATGCTGAAGGTGAAGTACAATCTATAGTTCTGTGAATCAAACATAAAAAAATTCAGTATATTTAA